TATCATTAGAGGCTTATGTGGTTGTGGCCAACATGGAAATCTTAGTCCATGTTGGACACAGCAAAAAATCTATACTCAAAATAGGTTTTCAATTTCTCTCCCACTCTCTCTATCTCTCGATCTCCCTCCCTTATCTCTCACTCTTTCAGTCATCTCTTGATCTCCCTCTCCCTCTGTCTCTCCTACTCTCTTAGCTTTTCTAACCAAATCAAAATCTCTCTCTCTCTCTCTCTCTCTCTCTCTCTATTGTTCTCCCTCAATCTATTCCATTATTCTCCCTCACTCTCCCTCTCGGTCAATATCTCATTTTTTCTCAACTTCTATCATTCTCCAATTGGTGTAAACTTCATAGCCAAGAGCTTCTTGTGAATTTTTATCAAATTAGTGTAATAGTTTTTGAACCATACCAAGTTGGTCTCATGTTCTTTTATATGATCTGATTAATACCATATGTGTGTAAGAAAAAAAAAACAAGAGAGAGTGGGAGAAAATTTGAGGGAGAACGATATAAATTAAGGAAGAATGAGAGATCGACCGAGAAAGAAAATGAGAGAGATTGTGGGAGAACAATAGGTAGAGAGAAATCGAGATAGAGAATGTAAATATAGAAACCAAAAACCATTTTTTATTTATTTTCAAATCACATAGTCATTGAGCAGATAAAGATGACTGTGAGTGAGAGAGTATGAGGGGGAGAGAGAGAGAGACTAAAAACATTTTTTTTTTTATTTTCCAATCACCCAACATTAATGGGCAATTTCAGCATAAGCTTTTTGTTGTTTCCAACATGGATTAAGAGTGTCATGTTGGCAACAAGCACATAAGCCTCCGATGACATGGCGAGAGTTTTTATAATTTGAAATGTATAGCTAATTGTCAGAGTTTTGTTGGTTTATGGACCAATTGTAGCTTAATTTTAAATGCACAGTTGGTTGTGATTATAATTTTCCCTAATTTAAAATTAATCCAAAAGCAAAGTTATTTTCTTATCTAGATGGTGGGTCAGTGATCAAACTTTTCAAATAAACTCATGATGTCATAATTGAATAATAAATATTTAAATTTATTTTTAATCTTTTTGTTACATTTTTTAATTTTCAATTTCTATCTTAACTAAGATATATTTAAAATTCAAATCATTAATATGAAGAAAAATTTCTCACGTGCATGTGCTTAATTACTAGTATGTTTAAATGTGAATACCATACATACATACATGTATATATATATATATATTTAAACCCATGTATTATATTGATCCCATACATTAAAAAATATATTATTAATAATTTGGTTTGCATTTTGGTCTAGTTTTTGAAATTTGAAAAATTAGACCAAAGCAAAAAGTTACGCTATGAGAAATTTTCATACCAAACCTACTTTTTTTTTAAGATTAGACCATACCAAGCCATCAATTCAATCTAGTTCAATGTAGTTTGGCTGTTTGAACCATATAATGAACATCTCTAGTATGGAGAAGTGTCCATGGTAAATTACAAAGACCCTCTTATAATATGTGGCTTAGTGACAATTACCCCCCTGAACTTTCATTTGCAACAAAGGCCCCCCTAAATTTTTTACTTTGCGACAAATATCCCCCTGTATTATGCTTCCATCGGCTTACTTCGACAAGGATTTTCATTCGGCTATTTAAAGTTTTTGTTTTTTTTAATCCACAAACTACCCCTTTGAATGATGTACGATTCAACCAATTTTCTAAATATAATATTAAGTTGTACCTACCAAGTACATGCTCAACCATTTAGTGTGGTTAGTTGATCAGAAAGAAGAATAATAATTGTTGTGTTCCACCATTCTGAGTTGACTTACGTCACCAGTTACCGCCAAGCAACTGATCCACCTGTGTTCTCTGGTCACCCTAGGGAACCCTGTTCAAATTAATGGTTGTGCAGCAAGCAACCCCTTCATGTCCATTTGCTACCTTTTAGTCCTTATTGTTATCAAACTTCTTCGATCCTTTTAATATGTATATATTTGTGAAGGAAATAGTTCAATCCTGCAATGAGACCATCCACACCATTGTTCAAGACTTAATGCCAGCCGCAACATAGATGAATGCGAGTTCAACTTTGGTCAGTGCAAGTCCGAGTTCACACCATTCGAACCACCTATTTCAATCTTGCATTGGGAGTATCTCCTGAAATAAAACATATATTACATATAAGTACAGAGACATTCTCAATACAAGGCTGTAAAGACTGTTCGAACGGGCATTGCATTGACTGAAGCTGAACTTGACGAATGCAGCCTTTGCACAAAAGTCAGGAGGTAGTGGATATGTTGGTAATGCCCAATAGGTGGTTAAGGCCCTGTTTAGCAATGCTCCCACTTGTTTCTATTCTTTTAGAAATTCCTGTTCTAGAACAAGAATTTTATTTCTTGTTCTTCTAAAGTAATAAATACTTTGGTAAATTGTTCTTCGAGAACGAATTTTTGTTCTACAGGAACAAAAATAGCATTTGGATAATGAAGTTACTTCTTAACATCAGTTTTGCAAAGTTTCATAGCTGATAGCATATAACAAATGACAATCTTCATGATATTCAACATATAACAAAAGACATAACAAAACACAACAATGGGATCAGAAAAGAAACCCCACCCATTTGGCATAACATATAGCCCTCGATGGGATTAGAGAAGAAACCACACCAATTCGACATAGCATGTAACAAATGCAAACAAAAAATGATTTCAGACCTCATCAGTTAGAGATTGTTTAAAATTCATCTTTGTGGTGGGAGCAAAAACGAATTCAAGTGAATTTGGCCAGAGAAAATGTGAGTTTAAAACAGAGCACACGATACAAAACCATGTACAGTGACGAGACAACATACTTGTTAACGTGTTCCTGGCTGGAAATGTTGTTGGTGCTTTCTACCATTCGTTCGCTGTCTGGTTGGAGCCAAGGGAGTCCCTCTTCCTTTGAGATTTGCAACGGCAAGTTGGAGGTGTTCACTATCGAATGAAAATGTTTGTTAGGGCTTGTTTCTATCATTTGGTGCAAAATATCCAAAATACCCCTTCTCTCATGTGGGAGTTGTATTTGTGTTCGTTAATAGGGGTTAACGTCATGGGAACCATGTGTTCCCTGGGCACACGTTCTTTGGGAGCGTCGATTTTTCACTCCCAAAGATTGGGTGTTGTTCTCATGTGAGAACACCGTTTTTTTTTTCTTGTACCAAATGTGTTTCTGCTCCATGAAAACATCGGAAACGCGCGAAACATTCTCATGGAACATTGCCAAATAGGGCCTAATTTTCTAATATTATGGTGTTCTTATGATGTTTGTTTTTTGTGCTCATGGTCAGTAATAAGTTGTATAAATTTAAGTAATGAAACTACTACCAGCAAAGACATAACAAGTGAATATTGTATAGCATGGCTAAGTTGACTTTGGCTTCCATTAGGAGAAAGCCCGTTTGAACAGCCTTTATAACTGTGCATTGGGAATATCTCCCTACTCATGTGCTTTATTTCATGGAGAGATATTCTTGATACAAGATTGCAAGAGGCTGTGGGACAGTGTGAGCACGGTCTTGCCCTGACCTAAACTGGTCATGGCTTAGTCAAGATCATTCCACATTTCTACCCACCAAAGCATCGTTTCAACTTTAGTTAGGCAACCCACTTGCCAAATAAATCAATATTTATCTATTAACCAACCAAATACATTTTCAACAATTAATTGGCTTTTAGATCCTATTTGGAAAAGCATTAAAAATCAAAGACAATAAAAACCTATAAATTTTAGGGATTTTGGGATTGCAATCCCCTTCAGAAATCTAATTTGCAGCCCCTCCTAGTCTATTAATAGCCCCCCTATAAACCACATCCGCCCATAAATTTGGCATCAATCCACAGGTAGGATTCAATCCACCCCTAGTCTACTAGTAGCTTCATCTAGGGGTGGACTGAATGGTAAAAACCCCTAAATTTTATTTCATTCATGTGTTGCCATTTATAAATTCATCTTAGGAATAACTCAGCTTGATTTAATTTGGTGGTACACATGATCACCTCATGATTGATCAATTCTTATTTGGAAAAAAACTTCCTTCTCCAACGATTGTGAAATGGCATAAGTATTTTCTGACAAGAAGCCATGGAGGCACAATAGTTAGGATTTAAGAAAAAAAATGAGAGAGAAAAAAAATAAGGAAAATTTAGATGGATATTTTGGAATTGTAACAACTTTTGTCATGACATGAGTAAACGGTGCCACATAGGCACCACGTTAGTGAATGTCTTATTAATTGTATTTGTATGTATCCACGTTTGCAAAAGCAAACTTCGGTTTCTATGTGCCTTTCCCATTTCAGGAAGCTTCATTTTAGAGCTTCCTGAAACGAGTATATAAGCATTTATTGGCATTTTGATGATGTAGTACCTAATGATGCCCATGTGTCATTAATACCCTCATTAATTTCTTTTCTCGGTTTTACTGTCACATAAGTACAAAATGTTTACTCAATAGGCGTAAACAAACCAAACACCCTGTTAAAATATAGGAATGTATTTGTTATCAAGTAAAAGTTAAGGGGGGTACTTGTAATTTATCCTTAATAACTTTCCAACGTCAACACTCAACACAATAACATCCATATTCCGCAGCCCACCTCGTTGTGATTAAGGACTCCGGATCTCCTGCCCACGAGAATTCTGCCCACGTCTATCTACAATACACTATCCCGTGAATTGGGAAATGGGAACACCTGAGTATGGGAATCTCCCCCTACGTAATACTATGTAGAAAGATGAGATGTTCTCCATGTATGACTGCGATGTTATGTGAGTAGACGTGAATAGAATTTATGCGGTCGAGAGATCCGGATTCGAGATTAAGCCCCGATATCCCCCAATATCGAGTAGATCAGACGGTTGAGATCTCTTGCCAAAACAAGTTCTCATGGCACGTTGCTTCTACGATAAGCGAATAAGTAAAAAACCCGACGGAATCGAATCGACATAAGTGGGGCGTGGGTTCTGAAAGGGAGGCAAATCTCCGTGGTGGAGGAAGCAAAACACTCGTTGAAGAAGAAATTACCTAAAATTGAGTGAGTGAGCTCAACCCATCGAGTTCGAAGATGGACTTGGATCGACCAAACATAGAGGAATATTTACCTTCAGAAGCCATTCAAGAGTCTAACGAGAAGCTTCACTTGTAATCCCTTTGGCTCCTACTAATAACCATTACCACCTTCATTTTCGCTATTTTTCTTCTTTTTATTTAATTTTCTTCAATCTAAATCTTCTGCTACTAATGATACTGTTCATAAAATCTGATCAGGCGTGATTTGCTCGACATTTCGCCTACTCTAACCGAGGCTGCTGGTGCCATTGTTGATGTAAGTCTCTGTTTTTTGGCTCTCTGCTTCATTCGCTTCGCCATTGTTTTTTCTTTTTCTAGTTCTGTTCAGATAAATGCAACAACATATTTAGTGGCGCCACCTCAGTTGTACAAGTGTTTTGGGTGTTGAAAACGAATAAGGTTTCCTAAATGTATACATTTTCATCGACATATTTATTTCTATTCTGATACAGAATACCTATGGGGCGGGAGATTATTGTAAGACTTGGTGATTAAAATGGTACTTGATTTATTTACTTATGGCTCTGAGGTTGCACAATTCTGAGGCTTGTTTTGGCTCTATAGGCCCATATAGCTCTGTCCCAAACAGATTCCACGAAGAAAAATAATTTTTTTTTGAAACTTCTGACGTACCGAAGCTTAGAAACATACTGAATGATAGAAGGATACGCAAGTAAAGGTGTGGTTGAAGTGGAACAAAGAGAAAAAGAAAAAAAATTGAAAGCTAGTTACTTAACAGAGATATTATCCAAAAGAGAGCAGATAGGCAGAACAGGGTTCATGTAACCAGTTGCAAATAGTTATATGAGATGAAAATGGATGGACAGAGAGGATTTGTAGCCATTAGGCTGTGACAAGTTTCATTTGGCTCAAACTTATATCATCAATATAGTATGGAGGGAGCAGCACTGTATGGGTAAAATTGACATGTTTAAAGTGTCTTTTCAATTTAATATATTCAAGAAACAAATGTCTACTGGTGAGTGCCTTAGGTGAACAAGCAGATGTTGTGAAGTGTGGAAATAATAGAAAATTTGGCTGCATTTTCTCTTGGATCAACTAATAATCAATTTATATCTCCTTTGTGTGTCAAAATATTGCATTAATATAATTTGGTAGATGTGGTCTTGTAAAACATACTTTTAATGTCTGCTGTGGCATTTCCTTTTCATTAAGTTCTGAGTTGTTTGACCTGTTTGGAGTAATTCTCATATGATCCGCGGAACAAAAAGTGATAATAAGGCAGTATTGAGAGTAGACCCATTGTTGGACATCTTATTCTCAATATTATGACAAGGATTGAATTATTAGGTCGCACTTGAATGATAATTTTCTTAGGTGGTTATTTGTAGGTGTTAAAGAGTACCCTTTCCAACCTCCCCACCTATTTTCTTTTGCTCTTTCCCATCCCCTCCAAGGTATCTAAGAAGTTAGAATCCCTCCAAAGGAACTTCTTGTGGAGGGGTTGGGAAGAAGAAAAGAAAATTCACTTAGTTAATTGGGATCAGGTCTGTTTGCCTGTTAAAGAAGGTGATCTGGGAGTGAGAAAACTAAAGGCTTTTAATTATGCCCTCTTAAGTAAGTGGATTTGGAGATTTGGTTCTGAAAGGGATGCATGGCAGAGGTCTCTAGTTGCTGCTAAATATGGTGTGGATTGGAGTAACTGGAGATCTTTGGACCCTCTTCAGACATGGGGCTGTTCCTTGTGGAAAGGACTGAAAGGTATTATGAAAATCTTCCCCTCTTTTCCAGAAGGTCTGGAGTATAAGGTGGGAGATGGAAAGAGGCTGAAATTCTGGAAGGACCCCTGGTGTTTGAACTCCCCCCTGGCTGAGGTCTTCCCTAACCTCTGTCAGTGTGCCTCCTCCCCTGATGCATCAGTCTTTGACTCCTTTGAGTGGGAGGAGGGGTGTGCTGTTTGGTGTCCCCTCTTTAGAAGGAACCTCCATGACTGAGAGTTGGAGCAGCTGCTGGAGCTATTACAGCTATTGCAGAATCAGCATGTTTCTGTTAATGTGGAAGATGAATGGAAATGGAAATGGAGTGGTGATGGTGTTTTCTCAGCATAGTTTTTAATGCGCCAAGGTGAGGCTAGGGGACAGGGGGGCGCCTAGTTGCCTAGGTGGGGTCTATGGACGATGGATTTTTTTTAAGTAAAAACATGTATCCTAGGGTAGTTTCCTAGGTTCCATAATCACATTTCCTTAATAAATATCCATAATTTTCATAAGAAAAGTATAAACTTCATGTTAAAGTATAGAAAATCAACATATTACAACATATTCATGAGAAGAAAAAGAAGAAAAGAAAATTTGAAAAATATAGGGGCTGAACCCCTAAAAATGTGTTGATTGGACAACATTTTATGTTCTTTCTT